AATACATTTTTAATTTGTTAGCTCAATTAAATCTAAAAAAAATGAAAAAAGACTGTTTGGGTAATCTCTGCACAATTTGCAAATAACAGCTAAAATTCTAAATTAAAATACTAAATCTCCCTATGCAGGCTTCTTAAATATTCCCCAATATTACATCCCTATGTATATCTTTAAAATATTACACCCCCTAAGTAATTCATAAAATTTTTCAAATGAGTAGTAATTGCTATCTTGAATATCACATCCATCACTTGTAAATTATGTTTGTACCATAAAAAGAAACTAAAATTCTTAATTAAAATATCACAACCCCCCCCCCCTTCATGTATACTTCTAAAATAATAGATCCCCCTAAGTATTTTTCTACAATATTTCAAGCAATTTATATTTGGTATTTAAAATATCACATCTCCCCTGTGGAGTCTCTGCATATGTCACAAAAAGAAACTGGAATTCTTACTTAAAACATCGCATCCCCTCTATGTTTACCTTTAAAATATTAAATCCCCCTAAGTAAGTTACAAAATATTTTAAACGATTAGTATTTGGTACCTACAATATTACAAACGGTTAAACGGTTTTATATACTTGATAACGAGGGTATCCATATTCCCTCAAAATATCGTAAAAATAAATATAATTTTTGCAAATAGAAATCAATCCATAAAAAGAAGTTTTTATTTTAATGAATTTTAAAATATTTTATTTTAAAATTATGCTAAGTGATTTTCTACTAATTTGTAATTGCTCTGTTCTTTTAAGAGCATTGAGCACTCTTTTTGTAGAATACATTTTAAATTGTTTATATATATATATATATATATATATATATATATATATATATATATATATATATATATATATATATATATATATATATATATATATATATATATATATATATATATATATATATATATATATATATATATATATATATATATATATATATATATATATAAGCTTACATATTTTAATTTGCTGAAAATTATACAAATGGAGAATGGAGTATTGGTTCGTGTCCCTCCACATGAAGAAGTTAATTTCTGCATACAGAAGAAGTTAATTTCTGCATACAGAAAGAGAGATAAAGGAGGTTTGTGAAATTCTTTAGAGAACTGAAAATGTTTATACTACTTTAATGTTAAATGATATCTATAAAAAAGACAAAAAAAAATGATGCAAAATTAAATCAATAGGTCAGAAAAGATGGCAGAATAGTTTGTGTCGCATTTGTGGATGTGAAATTAGTCTAAAAACTAGAAAAAATTAGAAAAAAGTTATATGGGTAATAAAATATATTTTAATTATTTTTTAATAAAAAATAATTAAAATATATTTTATATTTTAATATATATATATATATATATATATATATATATATATATATATATATATATATATATATATATATATATATATATATATATATATAAATTTCAAATAGAAAAAAATACTTTATATATTCAAATAGAAAAATGTACATTAAATATTTATTTTTAGATCAAATGTGATATTTGCATCTAAATCGATGGTACCGTATAAGATGCATTGTTTTTAGAAGTGAAACTTTATTTTGTTGTGAACATATTTATATATAAATTTAATAATAAATGAAACTTTAAAAATTGCATTCATTTCTTTTTCTTCAAAATTTTGTCATAAATTTAACCAATTTAAATGTTTATGCCCTTACAGATAAAAACACAAATAGGTGATTTGACACAAATTTTTTTTTTCCCTAGTTTTAGAGACTTCTTGTATTGTTATAATACTTTAACTTGTCGGAAGCCATACATATGAATTGATTGAACAATAATACATTTTTAATTTTTTAGCTCAATTAAATCTATAAAAAAAAAATGAAAAAAGACTGTTTGAGTAATCTCTGCACATTTTGCAAATAACAGTTAAAGTTCTAAATTAAAATATCAAATCTCCCTTTGCAAGCTTCTGAAATATTCTCCAACATAATTACTACTTGCAAAATAATTGAATTTGTTTTCTGGAGTAACACAACCCTCCTGTGTAAGCTCTATATATATATCACGAAAAGAAGCAAAAAACCAACATAAAATATCACATCCCCCTATGTAAATCTTTAAATAATTACATCCCCTAAGTAATTCATAAAATTTTTCAAATGAGTAGTAATTGCTATCTTGAATATCACATCCATTACTTGTAAATTCTGTTTGTACCACAAAAAGAAACTAAAATTCTTACTTAAAATATCACATCCCCCCTATGTATACTTCTAAAATATTAGATCCCCTTAAGTATTTTTCTATAATATTTCAAGCAATTCATATTTGGTATTTAAAATATCACATCTCCCCTGTAGAGTCTCTGCATATGTCACAAAAAGAAACTAAAATTCTTACTTAAAACATCACATCCCCTCTATGTTTATCTTTAAAATATTAAATCCCCCTAAGTAATTTACAAAATAATTTAAACGATTAGTATTTAGTATCTAGAATATCATATTCCCTCAGTTTATTCGCTGTATATATCACAAAAAGAAACTTAAATTCTTACTGAAAATATTACATCCCCTATAAGTTTACCTTTAAAATACTACATCCCCCAAAGTAGTTCATACAATATTTCAAACGATTAATATTTGGTATTTAAAATATCACATCCCCTTTATGTTTACCTTTAAAATATTACATCCCCCTAAGTAATTCATACAATATTTCAAACGATTAATATTTGCTATTTAAAATATCACATCCCCTCTATGTTTACCTTTAAAATATTACATCCCCCTAAGTAATTCATACAATATTTCAAACGATTAGTATTTGGTATCTAGAATATCACATCCCCTCGGTTTATTCACTGTATATGTCACAAAAAGAAACTTTAATTCTTACTTAAAATATCACGTCCCCCCTATGTTTACTTCTAAAATATTACATCCTCCTAATTAATTCATACAACATTTCAAACGGTTAGTATTTAGTGCTTAAAATATAAGATTCATCACTTGTAAATTCTGTATGTACCACAAAAAGAAACTAAATTTCTTACTTAAAATATCATATCCTCTCTATGTTTACCTTTAAAATATTATATCCCCCTAAGTAATTCATACAATATTTCAAACGATTAGTATTTGGTATCTAGAATATCACATCCCCTCGGTTTATTCACTCTATATGTCACAAAAAGAAGCTGAAATTCTTACTTAAAATATAACATCCCCCCGATGTCTACTTCTAAAATATTACATCCCCCTAAGTAATTTATAAAGTATTTTAAACAATTAGTATTTGGTATATAAAACATAACATCCACAACTTGTTATTTCTGTATATGTCACAAAAAGAAATTGGAATTCTTACTTAAAATATCACATCCCCCCTATGCAGGCTTCTAAAATATTGCAAACGATTGTTATTTTTATTCCCTAAAGTATTATATCCCTCGTGTGTAATCTAATTCTATACAATTGTCACACAATACATTACGGATCAAAATTTTATAAATAAGAATTTAAAATACATTACCATTTTATGCTAATTTCATTTATAGTATAGGGTAAAGCGGCCTAAATCTGGCCGCGTCCTTATTCTGGCCGATTTTCAGAAGCACTAAAATATTTGATGGAGGATGGAATTGGTCTGTTTTAAATAAAAAATATATTAATTTAACCTTGTAATTTTGAAATATGTACTTTAAATTCTTATATCGACTTGCTAATACTTCAGTAACATTTTAAAAGCATTTCATAAGTTTTATGTTTCCGTAAGCTCGATGTTTGCAATTTTCAAACTTGTAATGATTACATTCAAATATAATGCGTTTGTAAATCGCTTGAACTGAAAGTAATATTGGCATATAATTTTGTTAAAACTGTATATGTATTTATGCGTATTTTGTATATTGTTAAATAATTCTTTTTTATTTGAAAATTTATATGTACAATATTAAAGTATAATTTTTAGCGATTGTCCTATATCTGGCCAATGATTAGTCTCAATTCTGGCCATATATATGTACAATAACTTTATATAATTTTTATTTAATTTATATATATATATATATATATATATATATATATATATATATATATATATATATATATATATATATATATATATGTATATATATATATACATATATATATATATATATATATATATATATATATATATATATATATATATATATATATATATATATATATATATATATATGTATATATATATGTATATAATATATATGTGTATATATATATCATATATATGGTATGTTACATGAAATCATTTCATGTACCATTATATTACATACATATATATATATATATATATATATATATATATATATATATATATATATATATATATATATATTTATATATATGTATTTATATATTATATATATACATATATTATATTATAATATATGTATATATATGATATATAAATACATATATATAAATATATATATATATATATATATATATATATATATATATATATATATATATGTATACATATATGTATATAATATATATTTTACATGAAATGATTTCATGTAACATACCATATATATGATATATATATACACCTATATATTATATACATATATATATATACATATATATATATATATATATATATATATATATATATATATATATATATATACACATATATATATATATATATATATATATATATATATATATATATATATATATATATATATATATATATATTTATGAAATATGATATATTATGATAATATGAAATATGAAAAACCATATATATGTATATATATATATACATATATATATAAATATTATATTATTGCTGTTAATAATATAATCTTACATATACAGTAAGATAAATGTAAAAAACAGACAGCATTAGCCACAAGAATCATAATAATTTTATTTTTTTCAATTTTCTTTAGAATGGAAAAAATGAAGAAAAATAAAATAGTTAAAAATAATTCAAAGAAAATCAAAGTGCCAAGAAGTAAACTTGGAAAACACTGTCTATGGAATAATGCATCTATGATATCAGCAGTTGAAGCTGTAAGAAATGGATTTTCACAGAGAGCTGCTTGTAAAACTTTTGGCGTTCCAAGAAGTTCATTGCAAGTTCGACTATCTGGAGTAACCGAAATTGGAGCCAAACCCGGACATCCAACTACTCTAACTGCAGAAGAAGAAAATAAAATAGTAGATTTTGCATGCAATCGTGCATCTTTAGGAATAGGATTTGGTCGATCTCAATTTTTTAAATATGCAGAAAACTTTGCTTTAAAACATAAAAAATCATTTAAGAATGGAACACCTTCTGAAAAATGGTGGCGTGGAATGTGCAAAAGGCACAAGCACTTTACTTTACGTCAACCAGAAGGAACAGCTGCTATTAGACATCAATGTATGAATGCTTCTAAAGTTTCAAAATATTTTTCTGTTCTCAAAAATGTATTAATGGAAAACAACTTAAATAATAAACCACAAAACATTTGGAATATGGACGAAACTGGTATGCAGTTTGATTATCGCCCTGAAAAAATAATTGCTAAAAAAGAAGTAAAGTATCTACATAGTCGTACTTCAGGTAATCGGGAAACGATTACTGTTATAGCATGCTTTAATGCAACCGGTAACTCTATTCCTCCACATTTTATAGTAAAAGGAAAAACTATAAGATCTCTGTGCAATTTTCAAATTGAAAATGCCCCTGAAGGAAGCACATGGAGTGTTTCCTTCAGGGGCATTGCGTTTCTCTGGTTTACAAAGTCATTTCTTCCAAATATTGGTTCTGACAGACCTCAGTTACTTATTTTAGATGGACATGACTCACACAACTTTGTTGAGTTATTAGATGTGGCTGTGGCAAACAAAATACACATTGTTGAATTGCCTGCGCACACTTCCAACTGGCTACAACCTTGTGATAGGACAGTGTTTGGCCCACTCAAAAAAGCTTACAGAAAAGCATGTGAGAATTTGATTAGTAATTTTCCTGGGACACTAGTTTCGAAAGTTAGTTTTTGTGGCTTGATGAAGCAGGCTTGGAGTGAATCTGTTACTGTAAATAATATTAAATCTGGTTTTCGAGCTTGTGGAATCTATCCATATGATCCAAATATAGTTCCAACCGAAGCTTACATTCCTAATTCTCTATACATGCCGTCAGAAAGCCATCAAAAAAGTGAGAACATATTGAATAACATAGACAAATTAACATCACTATCTAATGATCATTGTGAAATAGAAGAGTTTATGGAATATCCATCAAATCCAACAAATGAGGAACAAGTTGACTTTTCTATATCAGCGTTAGCAATTAACAAATCTCCACCTTTAAATTTTGATCATACATATGCCATTTCTAATACATCAGTAACTAATTTAGTTTCTGTTAATATTAATAATAAAGATAGTGTCATTTCTAATACACCAGCAACTAATTTAATTTCTGGTAATATTAATAATCAAGATGTCACAAGAAAAAAAGAGATAGGAGGTTTAGATATCTATCAAAATTTTCCATTTCAAAATCATTCTTTTCCAGGAGATCCAGATTCTGATGTTTTACCTTATCCAACACAAATCATAAAAAAAAATAAAACATCATTAAAACAAAAATATTTTTTGCTAACATCGAAAGAAGCTATGGAGTACAAACATGCAGAAGTTAAAAATAAGTTACTCCAAGAAGAAAAGAAAAAAGAAAATATTATTTTAAAAAAGAAAAAGAATGAAGAAAAATTACTCCAAGAACAAAAAAAAAAAAATACAAAGTGAAAAAAAAAAATTTATAACTGCAAAAGAAATGAAGATAAACATTTTCTTTTTAATCATTATTCGTTTTTATTTTGCTTTATTTTGTTTTAATTATTCGTTTTTATTTTGTTTATTGTCTTTAACTTGAATATTGATCTTTTAATATCCTAGTTATTGCTATGTTCTACTTAGTATACCTGACTAAACTTGTAATAAGTAAACAAGCTTAGTTTCGGTCTTTTATTTCTATATTATGCCTTAATCTGGCCGATGGCCAGAATTAGGTAAGAACCGGCCAGAATTATATCCAAGTGGCCAGAAATAGGTCTTTTAGCGTACGTCTAAAATATTGGTGCTTAAGCATGCTTGTCTAGCCTAATTTAAAAAAAAAAAATTGTAATTATATTCATCTTTGAATATCCTATTAATATTAAAATTGTTTTGTTTATATTACGCTATGCGAATTTATATTTAAAACAAATAAGTAAGAAGTGGCCAGATTTTGGTCAGTTTGCCCTATTAGTAGAAAAACGTTTTTATGAATCTCGTTGCGTTTTTATTATATTGTTTATAATTGAATGCTTTGGACGTATTTGATACACTTCTAAGTGCAATGACTCGAAAGCGCGTTTTCGTTTTCATTTTTTCTATGGGGTATGTAATATTTTAGGCGGCTGTGATATCTATTACAGGAGATGCAAATATCGTAGAAAATTCAAAAATATTTCTTCATCCCCCCTAACAAAAACTCCTGGATCCGTCTCTAAATAAAACGCTTTTTTTTTAAATTTACATCGAACAAGGCTGCGAGCTAAATGCTACTACTAAGTTGAGAATTAATAGAATTGAATAAAAGTCGGTTGACAGAAGATTTAAAAAGTTGTAGGTTGTATGAATAACGAAAATATGAGAATGAGAGTTCCAAAGTGATGAATTGCGTAGAATAAAACTAAATGTGTAGAATTTTTTAGAGTATGCAGAGACAGATACAGTAAAAGGATGAGACTTTGCTGAATGATGATACAAACGAGAATGAGTTTTGGTTAATAAAACTAGAGATAATAGCTACTTTGAGAAGTAATAATATTTGTTGATAAGAAAAGAAGACGTATCCATAAAATGATGGGAGAGAGAATCAAGCTTAGTTGAACTAAGTTTACAACTTTTTAAAAGCTTTACATATGTCGAGACCAATAGCTCTAGCTTTGCCGTCTCCATCTAATGCATTATAGAATCTTTCAGTCACAATAGTGAGACGTAGAGTAAGAAGATTGAAAACCGTATTGATTGTCTGACAGCAAGTTATTTAACTCAAGAAGAGTTGTCAGAAATTTGTTGTTTAAAGAATCAAAAACCTTGCAAATAAAAGAAAGAAGACTGATCGGACAATATTTAGAGGGATCAGAATGTTCTCCAGAGTTTTTAAAAATTGAAACCACATATGTTATTTTCTAGCAAGAAGAAAAACAAGATTCAGTCAAACACTTATTAAATAGTTTAGAGAAAATTATAGAGAGTTCTAGAGGATAATTTTGTAAGACTATGACAGGAGTTTTGTCTGGATTGCAAGCCGTGAAAGAGTTTAACTGAGATATGACTTAAGCATTGGAAGCTTAAAAAATATTAATGTCTAGCAATGGGTTAACCTGTTTAACATGAATAAAAAGAAGTGCATAGCCAGAAGGTTCAAGAGTGAAATAGAAAGAATAGTTTATTGCAAATAGTTCTGCTTTATCCTTGGGAGAGGTAATAAGATTAGCCCCATTTATACGGGATGTTATTCCTACCCTTGTCAATGACGTTTTGAAGATTATCTAAAACTCTCTAGATTTATAGAGATCGTTGCATGGTTGGAACCACCTTAAAGAGAGCAAGCAGAAACTGAACGCAAGCTAGGATCAGAGGCAAGACTCAAATCAAGGAGTGATGGTAATTGGTTAGAGTTGTATGGAAAATGAGTTATAAATTTAACTATCTGCGTAAAAGATTAGGAAATGCAGAAGTTATGAGTTTTAGTCCCAGCTGGGTCACTAGCGTTAAATTCAAGCCATTTAGTGTTACGAGCATTAAAGTAACCAATAAGAACATTACTGGGAGGAGAGATAAAAACGGACACGGTCATTTTGATTAAAAACTACATTTAAAATAATGCATTCTTGAAAAAAAGGAGAACAATAAAGGAAAAGAAGAAAGGTGATAGTGTAAAGGGGTACAAAGTAAAAGCACATAAAAGAATGGGTAAAGGATTCAAACCTGATTTCTTAACATAGGTGAATTGATGCGTATTTATACCACCAAGCCAAGCATTTGACAATTATAGCCTTTGAAAACTAAAGGATAGTACTCATTAATACTAAAGAAAAAACAGCCAAATTTAAAATATTCTTACAAAGAGAAGACAAGACTGGTTAGTTTTGCAAGAGGTAAAATTTTGATAAAAGATTACTTTGAAGACTACGAATGTTTGTGAAAGATACTTTTGGCATGATTTAAGTTTATAAAGAACTTGACTTATTTTTAGATAGAGCACGGCATCCCAACCAATGTGCTACGCAGCTGTGTTAGTCTTGTTAATTAACTTAGGGTTTCTTATGTGACATCATCAATGCACATTAACAGAAACACCATCCTTGTCCAATGCACAAGCAAAATTCAATGAGTAGAGTCAAGAAGATCCAGTATTCATCATTCTAGGCAGGAAACAATGTAAAACAGGTGTACATCTACACCAGCCTAATAGATAAAGAAAGGATTTAAGGCTTATCTTTAGAACTTTTTTGCTAACTGCTAAAGTCTTTGCCTAGGAGGCCTTCTATAATACCGTAGCGGTTTGTACATTACATTTAACATAATACTAGAGATTAAGGCGAGCATAGCTTTTATTGCTGGAGTCACTAGTTAGATACTGAGCTCATACTGCAACAAAGATATAAGAGGAACACAAACAAACATATATTAACTTACAGGTAAATCAACACCGCGCCAGTAGTTCAGACAGAACTCAAACTTACATAAAGTAACATACGGGTAAATGAACACCCTGTTAAAGATTCACATAGGACACAAGCATACAAATAGTAATTTACGTGTGTTTGAATACCACGCCAGGTGAGCTAACACAGTAACTAAGACACCTCCAATCATATAAAAGGCAAACAAAAATATACAGTCGTGTTCAGTAAAAAAGTAGTGCGTATTTTATTTTTCTATCAACAAACTTTGAACATCAAAATATATTTTTCTATTGTTTGCTTTTTATCATTATTATTCATAAACTAAATGTTGCAATTATAATAGTATAAAAAAAATTTAAGAAAGATAATTGCAGCACTGTATGGTTTTAAATTTCAATATTATAGATTAAAGGTCATTCGTATTTTTTTTTGACTGTGCAATAAAATAATAGTGAAAAATTAATTGTTTAATAATTCCTGTACTTATTAAATTCTAATTATTATCAGTTTTTAATAATAAGCAATAAGTAAATAACTAATTTTGATATTAGATAAATTTATACACTTACAAAAATTTTGAAATTTTAGAGAAACATAGGGCGCTCTAAGTATTGAACTGAAGAAGTTAGTAATTAAATTATAAATATTAAAAATCATGGTAAAACCTACAAACAAATGTAAGAACGGGTTGGATGCTTACCAACAATGATTTGTAATGTTTTAAAATGGAAACCCAAACCAAAAAAACGTGGAAATAAAAGATCAACTTTCGCTATAGAAGATCGTCGAATTGTATCGTTAGCGAAAAAGAAGCCATTTATTACTTCTAAAAAAATTTAAAAAAAAGCTAGAATTAAATGGTAATACCTTAACTATTCGAAGACGAATAATACATGCTGATTTAAATGCAAGAACACTTAGAAAAGTGCCACTTTTGAGTAAAAGACTTATCGAAAATCGTTCAAAATTTGCACGTATGCATGCTTCTTGGTCTAAAGAAAAATGGCGAAATGTTTTGTGGACTGATGAAAGCAAAGTTAAAATTTTTGGTTCCCAAGTTCGCAAACAGTATGTTAGAAGACCAACGAGTGCAGCATACAAGCCACAATTTACATTAAAGACCGTCAAACATGGAGGTTCAAAAATAATGATATGCGTTTTTTTTTCTTAATATGGTGTTGGGCCTATACATCGCATAGAAGATATCATGGATCGGTTTGTATATGTAAAAATACTTGCTGCCTTATGCTGAAGAAGAAATGCCGTTAAATTTTTTGTTCCAGCTGGATAATGATCCCAAACATACAAGCAAGTTAGCCAAATCGTGGTTTAATGAGAACAAAATCGATGTGATGGAGTGGCCAGAACAATCCCCCGACCTCAATCTGATTGAAAATTTGTGAATTAATGTTAAACAAGCAGTTTCTGAAAATAATCCAAGAGGTTGTAATCAATTGTGGGACGTAGTACATTCAGCATGGCAAAATATATCTGTCGAACGATGTCAGAATCGTGTTAATTCCATGCAACGAAGATGCTTGGCGAATTCCATGCAACGAAGATGCTTATTACAAATAAAGGTTATGCCACAAAATACTAATGTAGAGCTTCAAAAAAAAAAGTTTTTTGTATTAAAATTTATTTATTTTTTCATAAAAAATGATTTTCACTACTATTTTATTGCACAGTCTAAAAAAAAATACGAATGACCTTCAATCGATAATATTGAAATTTAAAACCATACAGTGCTGCAATTATCTTTCTTAAATTTTTTTTTTAAACTTTTATAATCACAACATTTAGTTTATGAACAATCACAATAAAAAACAAACAATAGAAAAATATATTTTGATGTTCAAAGTTTGTTGATAGAAAAATAAAATACGCACTACTATTTTACTGTACATATGTTATATTATGATAGGCACGAGTAGTATTAGATAGTATTGATGAAATGATCTAGCTTTTGCTTAGAAAGCAAATCCTACAAGGCAGAAGGAAATGGAACAGGTTTCACTGGATTACATGTTACCATTAGCAGGTTGAGTATGATGACCATACACCTTACTTAACAATAATTTAGAGTAAGTATTTTTAATTTTTGATAAATTAATTTTTAATTTTAATAATATAATAACAAGAAAAAAAATTTATGCTGTTTCAATTAAGGTGGCACTAATCCAATTATTAAAAAGATAAATAATCAATTGAAAATTTTCAAATTTGATGTTTTATATATTAAAAACTAAAATGTACAACTTTTGAAACAATTTGTAATACAAATTTGTAAATACATAAATAAATTTGTAATACAATTTGTAAATACAATTGCACATCCAAATCTTAAAACACACACACATACACACACACACATATACACGCACACACACACACACACACACACACACACACACACACACACACACACACACACGCACACACACAAAACAACGTAAAAAACTATACCTTGTATAGCATGCTACATTCTATATATATAATAGTTATTCCTATTTATAAATATTTTTGATGTAACTATTTTATTGAAAACATATATATTTGATTTGCTTTGATTTGTTTTAACATGAAAAAGGGTAATCAGAACCTTATAATTCTCAAGTCGTTATATGCTTTTTTTGTCTCATATTAATCTATATCACTTAATAAACAATAATCAGTGTGTGTTTTAAGCTGTCAATTTAACAAATTTGATTTTTTAATCGTTTATTTTAACAAATTTAACAATTTTGTTATTTAATTTTAAAAATGTAAAAAAATAAAACAAATTTAGTAAAGTTTTTTTCTTTCTTCTTTTATTATTCTAACTTTTTCTTTTGGGTTTTGGCCAGACACTGACAAAAATAATTAAGAAACCCATCTGCAAAAATGTAACGTCACACAAAATTTTTTTTTGAGTTAGTTTTTTTTTTTTTTTTTTTTTTTTTAGCTACTTATGTACTCCAAGAAGCCTAACAGTTGTGTCACAGAGCACCGCTGAATAACATTTAATCGGTAAGTTCATGCCTCCTTTCTTCCAACAACGGATCTCCGGTTTAACCATGAACCTCTGAAGCCAGTTTTAATGCGCTTTTTAATGCGCCTAAAAAAATTTTTTTTACAATAACTAATTTATTGTAAATAACTGGATAAACAATATGAAGAAATTGACTTAAAAAATAACTAAAAAAAAAAGGAAAAGGTCCTTAAAACTATTTCGGGGTAGTACTTCCCCCCCCCCCCTTAAATATAATTTTAATTCCTACGGCCCTGTAACATAATTATATAACAATATAAATTAAAAAGTGGAAGGAGAAGTAAGGAGGGAGGCATTTGGCAAGAGGGTTCCTAACCTTTTTTCTGTTGGGCTTAATTTTTGCTGCTTAGCTATAAGTGGTTTAGGTTTTTGTCGTTTTATCGAAATCAATTTTCGTGTATTGTAGAGGAGCTACCTACAATTAATTTGAAAATAATGAGTCCTTTAGCTAATACGGAGTGAAATTTAACCGTAGGCATAATATAGTTATTATATTTTATTATATAATATATTATATTTTTATATTATATAATATATTATATTTTTGTCGCACAACTAGAGAAACAGATATTCTTCCGGTCGCCGGACAAGTAGACGCAGCCTATAATATTTCATTGGCAAAAACTGCAATCTAATAGCATAAGTTAATTATTCAAGATAGAAATGGTTACTTCTCCAGTATTAACAAAAGCTTATAACTTGCTTTTTAAGAGGTCCTCAACGTTTGCTGTGACTATAATTGTTGGAGCCTTTCTTTTTGAAAGAACTTTTGACCCTATCATGGATGGTATTTGGGAACGAAGAAATCAAGGGGTAAGTTAAAATCATAAATTTGTCAAAACTTTAAAAAATTTTTGAAAGAAAATATGTGCTTAATTAGTTTATGAATTTTCATAAGATAAATTGATGGAAAAGTTATAAAATATCTATCTGTATTATCTATCTATACCTAATAAAAAATAGCAGAACCTTAGTTGTTATTATCTTTATCATTTATTGATTATTATTTTAAATGAAATCATAGATCTAAAAAAAAGTAAACTTTCAAATCAGTGGTAAAAGTAGCTAATATGTAATAGCAAAAAAATAAAGTAACTAATTAGTATATATATAGCAAATCTAGATGCCATATTTAGTTTTATAATCACTTAAATCACATGCGATAAATCTAAATGCCATATTTAGTTTTATAATCACTTAAATCACATGTTATTTTTATACTGTGCAGCACAACTGCTTGAAAAATAAAGAAAATTTAAAATGTTAAGATGATGTTCTTTTAAACATTTTACTACTTGTATCTAAACTTAATAAACACAACCAGTACAATATTTGTTGATTTTTGACATTACCAAAATGATATTATGTTAATTAGTCATTTTTGTTTGTTAGGTAGAGGGCAACATGATGTAATGGACAAACCACAGACATTCCGTGTATTAAATAAATGTCTTATCCAAATATGCTAAATGTGTGTATACTTATAAAAATAAAAAAAATTACACATAAAAGTATTAGCATGCATTACTTATAAATTGCTTATTAAATATAAGAAAATCATTCTTTTTAATGTTGACTTAAAACTTTTTTTTGCTTTACCTTATCCCATTTTATTGCTGAAAATAACAACCACTCTAAATAAATAAAAATAAAAACATAACTTAATTTTACACAATTCAATTAAATGATTTAAGTTATTTAAATTTTTTAATTTAATTTATTTTAGTTTCTTATTTTGTTAGTTTTGCTTTATTTTATTTTTTTTGAAACTTAGTTTTATTCACAATGCCTAATATAAAAAAAAAATCGCCATGACCAAGTTGTCTAAAATAAAATACTCATGCATGGGCATTAAAGAAAAAAAAACTGCAGGCATTTCCTGGAAAGGCTTGCCTCTAATGTTTTATCACAGTGCCAACCAATTTGCTTTATCACAGTGCCAACCTTTTTGCTGATGACTCAACTTTATACTCCTGTCTAGACAAAAAGTCTTCTCTTTTCGATTGCCTAGAACAAGCAGCTGATCTTAAATCCGATCTCACTTCAGTAATAGATTGGGGTTCACAGTGGCTTGTGAATTTCAACTCTAAAAAAACCCAGTTGCTTACTGCAAACAACTACCGTAATATGATCAACATTCCTATATTAATGAATGGCAATCCTCTTACTGAGTCGTCCTCTTTACGTCTTCTTGGATTATCACTTACTACTGACCTTTCATGGAAACCATATATACAATCGATTGCTAAATTAGCTTCTGCTAAGGTTGCTTCTCTTTATCGTGCTCGCCATTTTCTTACTTCTGATTCCATTCTCTACCTCTACAAATCTCTTATTCGTCCCTGTATGGAATACTGTTGTCATATTTAGGCTGGTTCTTCTAACCATTCACTTTCTCTTCTTGACAAGGTCCAAAAACGCATTGTAAATGTTGTTGGACCTGGACTATCTGCTAAGCTTGAACCTCTTTCCCATTGTCGTAAAGTTGCATCTCTTTCTCTTTTCTACAGATACTATCATGGTCACTGCTCAAAGGAGTTATCATCTCTAGTTCCATCAACTAAAATTCATTCTCGTTTTACTCGTCATTCAGCTAAGTCTCATTCGTTTACTGCATCTGTCCCTGCATGCTCTAAAAACTTTTATTCATCTAGTTTTTTCCCCCGCACTTCAATCCTTTGGAACTCTCTCCCATCTTCATGTTTTCCTGACTCATACAACCTTCAACTTTTCAAGTCTTCTGTCAACCGTTTCCTTGCTCTATAACTCTGTTCTTTTTTTTCCTAGTAACTCCCAACTTGATAGTGGTTGCTTGCAGCCTTGTTGGGAGTGAATACAAATAAAATAAAATAAAAAAAAAAATTGCAAATTTTATACACAGCTGAAGATTCTATATGAAAGGCTTTCTTTTTATGTAAGCAGCTTTTAGTCTCTTTAACACAATGATATTATACTGTTGCCACCCCCATCATTAGTGTGTCCCAAAAAATACTTTTTTTAAATTTTCAATGTGCCCTCAACTGATTCCTATTTTATAGGTCCTAAATAACTCCAGTAATCTTTTTTTAGGTTTTATAATGACTAGAATCGATAGATGTAAGTTCTGAGTTTTACTGTTTTGTGCACTTATAAACCACACTGTCGAGTATGCACCAGCACAATATGTTTTAATATAATCTAATAATTGGTACATAAATAATTCACTTATGACATTATTAACAATTGGCAAAATTTCCTATGAACATGAATAAAGATTGATATATTACCCTCTAGACATTAAATGTTGATATAATTCCCTAAGGGAATTATTAATAATAGGTACACAAATATTTTCATTTACGTATTTTTTTTCTGCACAAAGGAATTGTTGTGTAAATGCTTATAAAAGCTATAGTGACAAACTTAATAAAAAATGTGATATGAGAGGGAATAACAAATAGTTTGAGACTTTATTGAATATTGATATGTAACATTTATTATTAAATCTGTTAAAAAAACTAGTTATTTGAAACTTTATATAGATAAATTTTGTCACATTATTATCTTTTTTTTTTACCTGTTAAAGCTCTAAAAAAAGAATAATAATGTAACAAAAAAACAAACAGAAAAGTTAAGGTATATTTACCTGTTGAAGTACCCACTGAGAGAATTACCTAAAAAGTTAAATTGTCTTTGCTGAACTGGAACAACAGTCTTGATAAGCAGTCAAAGTTTGAGAAAGTTTATCCCATAGAGTCTTATCAGCTTTTCGATATCTTCACTAAAACTTTGATAATGATATTTTTGTTAATAGAATTAGAACAGATGATTCTAAGCTGGAAGGTATAAAGTAAGTTTATTAATACTTTTTAGAGTAATAATAGAGTATTAAGATTTTTTGTCAGATTTAAAGTGATTCAAGTTTTATTATTTATTGGTTTATTATTTCCTTTTAAATATTTAAGGCAGTATACGTTTAACTCTTTTCCATGGCTTGGTTATCAGGAGCAACCAGAATAAATATGACTTCACTTATATATGTCTTAACGGATTTAGATCCTTTTCAGATTCTATGAAGACCATAAGTTAGAGAGAAAATGATATATGGGAACTAAGGTTGACGGAGACTACAGTAGGAAAGTAATAGATGCAAATAGGAGAAAGAACAAGCTAGATATGTTAAGAGATAAAGAATTACAGAGAAAAAGAAAATTTAAAGATATCAATGTTTTAGTGTCACATGACTTCATGACAGAAGAGCTTCAATTCAGCATTGAATAAGAAAAGTCAAATGAGGTCTCTGAAATCAGCAAGGAAAAAGATTTCCAGTATAACAGTCAGAAACGCAGGTATAGTATTTTTTCAATAACAAACTTTTATTTTTACGAACTAAAATTGATTTGTTAAAAGTAAATAATCATAAAAAGAAAAATATTTTCAATTGAGTATCACCTAGGTACAAGTCTGGAGATAAGATAAATTTTGCAGTGAATGTTGACAAACTGATTGAATATACTGCAATTCCAGAAACAAGGTTTAATGTTAGTATATAACCTTATTTAGCAATTTTAAATATAGATTTTAAAGCTAGAGGCGTAGAAATAGATGATATACTGCTATTTGAACCACACTTCATATTAAGAAGTTTAATTTCATAGAACATAAAGGAGATTTAGAGTGGATTTCAATCATGAATTATCTTAATTATACTTCATTTTGATACTAAACCATTGAAACAGAAAAAAAAAGAGCAACTTCCAGTCTCAGTGAGCTCCCCAGATGATAACCTATAGAAGACCATCTTTAGGTGTTATTTAATGTCCCTCATTAAAGTGACTTGACAATCAAAACAAGTGAACAATCTTTTCGAATATTATGGATGTAGAGAGCAGATCATAGGTAGATGCTGTGATACAACTTTAAAAAAAACAGATGGAGTCAATGGGGGAGTCTTATGTCTTACAAATATTTTAAAAATTTCAATGTTGTGGATAACTATGTTGTAAATTTCAATGTTGTGGATATGGCTGCCTTACTGGTGAGAAAGCTAAAGGTCCAAGAAGAGTTCTTTATGTAAAGCTAAAGAAGAAATGGCCTTAAATTTGTAAGAACGTTAATGACGATAAAAAATTTATGCAAATTGGACTGGCAAACCAGCTTTCTGGCAAACCAGCTTTCTCAAAGCAAAGGTTGTCAACAAAGTTGACAACCTTTGCTTTGAGAAATGTCAATAGGAAGATTGGAAATGATTTGCTTTTGAGCATGGGGCGCCATACCTGGTATTTAACTCTTCAACTCTATGTTTTGTTGTGGGGGATAAAGAAGTTCCAGCTGAACAAAGCTTCAAATGCAAGTATAAACGAAAGGCTCAATAAGAGTTTCAACACTATAGATATTTTTAACCACCCTCCCACTACCCTCAGTTGCTAGATTTTATTGTATGGATCAAAAACTTTTGATCCATACAATAATCATAATGATAGAACAGAAAGAAACATTAAGCTTATTTCAAATTTTATTTGCTGCTACTAGAGGTAAAGGTTACCTTTAAAATGTCATTTTTGTAGTTAAAAACTCAAGTAAAAAGTTGACTGAGAGTATGAATTAAAAAAAGCTTGGAAATTAAAAAGTTCTAATAAATATAAGTTTTGTCTTTTTTTTGTATTTTCAGATTTATAAATGTAAACTGCCTAGCTTAAATAGTAGTACCTCTAATTGATTTGTTCCAGTTGTCCAAAATGTAACAAACTTGTATTTTCTGTTAATAATGAGACAGTTTAACATTAAAGCCATAAAACTCAAATTTTACATTTAGCATATCCATTCAAAATAGA